TTGGTGAGTACTCATGTCTCTTATTATTTTGCTGGAAGCAGTTTTTCTTTCGTTATTTTTTTTTTGGTTTTGTTTTTTGTATTTTTAACCAGTTCCGTCGCAAATAATGACAAGTTAGGGTCATTAACCCTCTGCTTCTCAGAGCTAAGCAGTAATGACCGAGGACTGTTCTGGCTCAGCCCAATTCCCTCCCACCAAGTGACCGCTTGACCAGCAGACCGTCACAGACAATTGTTCGGTTTTATTACGTCCTTAACGATCAGAGATGCCATGCCGTGTCTCGTCTTAGCGTTACTTTATGGTTGTTGGGTTTGAGCGCCTCGACTCTCAAGTCAATGATCTTTGTGAAGACTTGGTGAGTACTCATGTCTCTTATTATTTTGCTGTTGTTTTGTTTTAGTAAACGTTGTATGGCCCTTGTAACACGATTAAGTTATATGAGTGCCGAAGATTAGAGGTAGTACAAGAGAGCAACAAACACAAAAAGAAGGGGAGCTAGGGATGATGATTGTTTGATAGGGGAGAAGGAGCAAACAACACCAGCGCTACCCCACTAACCTCCCACCTCTTGTCTCAGAGTTTTGAAAATAGAAACGCATAGACAGAATAGGGATAATTTTAAAAAACAAGGAAAATCTTTAACAAACATGAGCAACAGAGGGTAATTTTTTTTAACGAGCAAGAACTACCAGTTGCTATCACTAATCAATGCCCTCAGACAGCAATAGCTGTTACCAGAAATATTTTAAATGGGTAGATTCTATTTTGTGTTAGTTTGAGTACATTGTGTTTTCTCACGATAACGGCGACAATTCGTAGTGAAAAAGAATTCAACAAAATCAGCTATGGCATGGGAAGAAATCATGCCCCCCAAAAATGTATTATCACACTTCAGTGCCCATGAACCACTGCCCTTTAGTATGGGTAATAATGATTAAATACAATCAATTTGCAAAGGTTGGCGAAAGACAGATTGTTTTATTCATGAACAATCTGAAAAATAACATCCAACTACTGAAAAAGCTAAGATGAAAATTGTTTCATTTTCGCTAAACGTTTTACGGCTCGTGAAAGACAATTGATGTGTAGTGGATGTAAGTGCTGAAGATTAGAGGTGCTTCTGGGGAGTAACATAATAATATTCAGGGTGATCTTTAAAAAATAACTGTACAACTTTTTTTCTAAATATCTCGCACAAAATTTATACAAGAATGGTGTCATTTGGAACGGATATAATTCATTCAAAAGGAATGAATTTGTTTGACATAAAACTCGCAAAGAATAAACTTATTTTCGGAAACGGAAATGGTTTTTATAAAATGAAAAAGTACCTAAAATTTGCCAATTTAAAACATCTTGTAAGAAAAGTCATGAAAGGATTGGATTGTGTTTTCTTTTCCTTTTATTTTAACAATCTAATTTTCCATCTCTGTAGCCTTTAAATAATTTTTTTTCTTCAGTTCAAATATACACATAACAAATTCAAAGACCGCATAGAAAGACCAAATTACACCTGGCAAATCCAAATATACAAATGACGTCACAAAAAGTCCTAATACAACAATAGCAAGTTCAAATGTAAACATAGAAATCTCAAATGTAAGACAGAGCAAATTGAAATGCCACATAGCAAGTTCAAATATAAGTATGCTTGAAAAGGAGGAAAAGAGACAAAAAATATAAGAAGTGTATCAAGGTAAAAAGGAAGAGGGTTTGGGTTTTTTTGCCACGAAAAAGTTAGATGTAAGCCGTGTGGTGCCACAAGGAAGAAATCACGTGAAACGAAACTAATTGTTAATTTTTTTTTTTACCGGAAAATAAACCCACATTTTTAAACAAAATGGTAAATATCAACAAATTGCTGGTTTATGTATATATATATATATATAACTGGATGAAACGTAAAGCCAAGTTTACTTTTATTTACTTATTGTTGCACTACAAAACGCAGTGACAAATAGGCTTGCATTGATCTGAAGACCGCTGCCATTTTCACAATAGTCACAGCTTGGGTTTTTTGTTCCATCAACTGGGCAAGTGTTACCATCCTTTGTCGGTGAGTCTGCTGAGTGATCATTTAGTCTCTTGCTTCAGCGAACAAGTTTCAAATCGTTTTTCGAAAAAAACAATGTTTCAAAGATGAAATGGTATAGCTATTGGGTTATTTAAGAGGCAGGACCTCCGAAATCAACGTATATCTCCGAAAGGACCGATCCAAACGGTAAATTTGTGTGTTTCCCAAGGACACACCGCCTGACCCAACTGAGGCTCGAAACCCCGAACCCGAATCGCACGCCTAACCACTATGCTACCCACGCCCACGCCACTAAATCGTATTTCCAAATTAAAGAAATGTTTTCACTGATGGTTAGACAAGGTATGCAGGTGGCAAGATTTTTCACCTTGAGTCCATTTGATTAAAGGACAGTGTAAAATGAAGCAAAGAATAAACAATAACAATGAAAATGAAAATAAACAAGTTTAAACCCCCCCCCCCCCAAAAAATGGTTGTGATTACAAAGCAAATGTGTGTTGGGGGTGGGGAATATTTCACCACCAATATATTGATGAGTTGCCATTTAAAGCTTGCCTTAATGAACGAGCGTTGTTACAAACAAACCATACTTCGTTGTGGGGATTTTCGGAACAGTTTCTTAGACGGGTGGGTTGAAACGACAGCTACCATTCCCTCTACTTGAAAGTCGTGAAAGCCCAGGCCACCCTCGTCACTGACAGCAATTTATTTCAACATGAGGTTCGGCCCCTTTCGACCCTGCACTGCTGGAACAAAGCATTGGCCACTCCTTGCTCTTCTTCGGTTTTTCTTCGTCAACTGCTTGATACCCGCCTCATCGATGAAGGCAAATTCATACTGCTAAATGTTCTGCATCAGCCATGCTACATATTTATGTCTTGTTGCTGCACTCCTATTATATTTTTTTCCCCGCTGGAGCATCCTCGGGATCTTTATTTTATGGTGATCAATTCATCCTAAAAGGATACTGCTTATGGTTGTCGCCAACTTGTTTCAGAACATTAAAAACGCTTCTCAAGCTGAATAATATGTGAGGAGGACATTTGCTTTTGCTATGTGGTATTTGAACTTGTTATTGTGTCACATTTGGATTTGCTATTTGTACATTTGAACTTGTTACGCACAATCGTGCACTAAAATTTCCTATTGAACATTTGAACTTTCTATGTGACGTAAAACTTTCTAGGTGGCATTTGAACTTGTTATGTGGTATTTGTATTTTTTATGTGTACATTTGATCAGAAAAAACTATATTATGTCTTTTCTCCTATAGAGTTAAAACATATTTTTCTTAAATTCTGGAATTCCGAGAACCAATGGTCTATACTATTATGTCCTCCTTTGGACTCGTCACATTTGAATGCGTCGTTTGAAATGTTCACTGGTGGTCAAACGTTAGGATTCACTCAAACCATTGGTTCTCAAAGCCACGCACACTGTGCACCTTACAGTATGGAGCTGTTTCTAGAGACAATGGGGGGGGGGGGGTTGAGGTTGCCCAAGTAAACAGCATTTCTGGAGTTGATATAACCTGATCGGTGAATATGGGCTTTACCAAGGAACCAAATGTCATAGAGGAAATTTTCACTCTTTTCAAACCATCGAGGAATCATGAACACATTGTTTTCCTCTGATAGCATCGTGAACAGAAAAATGGTACTGCCATAGATGAAAATATGCCTTGAGAATGCGGACCGTTGAGATGTATGAAAGTCATAGCTGCAGGCATCGTCTACGGACAGACGTCTCATGTGGCTCATCTATTGAATTCTCTACATTGGTGACGTTTAAAGGGTTGCAAACGGTGTGTGTTTGACCTGCAGTGGTCGTTTTGTCAAGGAATTATTAGTTATGATTCTCTACAGGTCCTAACTGATGGACCTTTCCCACCGTTTACATCAAAGAAGTCCATTGGGGCACTTTTACATTATTTCTGCACCTTGTGCGACACTTGCAAAATGAGTTGGTGGGGAGGAAATGCTCAATACAAAAAGGTGTCTGCACTTTACAGATCTTAACCATGATCTCAGCAAGCAAAGGAAACGAGGAAAGCTATCTGCAAACTTCTGTTGGCCTGTTAGACTGCTGTAGTTTGCAATTTGGCGCAATCGTTGGGATTTTTAGTGGTAGGCCTAATGCAAACTAATGCGTCATGCTACAAAAATGGGGACATAGCTGAAACGGGGTTATTGTTCTTACGCGTTATGTAGAGCAAAACTATTCAATGGATTTACCTAAAATGAATATCAGACATATTTCTTTTGACTTCTAAATGTTGTGTACAAATTTGAAACGCAAAACTGCAGTGTGGCGGAAAATATTAACAAAAAAAAGGTTGTGCAGTTTTGTTTTGTTTTATCACCCTGTATACTCATACCAACATTAAGCTACCAGTGCCAGACCTGTACATTCATCCATGAAAGCAAAATCACCTCATGCGAAATGAAATGTCTCCGCAAGACCCTCAACACCACAGGATGAGACAAGCAGAGAAATGAAGAAGTAAGAGCAGCTATCGGCATTGAGTCCTCCTCGCAGACATAGAATAAAATGGTTTGGCCACCTGTTACGTATGTCACCAGGCCAGCCAACCTTGAGAGCCTACAACACCAAGCACTCAGACTGTAAAGGAAGAGGAAGGCCACGCAAAAGGTGGACCGAGGGTGTCAAGGAAACCATGAGAAAGCATAATATCACAACTGAAAGAGCTGCGGAGCTGGCCTATAATAGAAAACTGCCTCTCCCCTCGACGCTTAACGGCAACAGAGGATGAAAAAGAAAAGAAAAACCCCTGTATACACAAAGAAAAGAAAGAGGGGGATATGTTAATATTACAAGTTAAATAGGAAAGAAGGAGCAGCCACGTTAAAGAGCCCCCGAACCATCAACCAAGAAGAAGAAGGAAAAAATTGTGAATGTAACTTTTCCACTACTAAATATACCAAATAGACAGAACACTTCATACCTTTAAAACTTTACGGCGTCCCATTTTGTTCCCGGCTTCTCTGGCGATATGGTGCAACGTGTTCTTCATGAGGCTGTCCAGTTGCTGCAGAGTGTCTCTTTTGATGGCCACGCGTGGCTTCACTCTACGTAGAATCTGGACAGAGAAAGATAAGGGGCGAGAGTTGTTTGTTTGAATTAAAGAAAACAATATGGGCGAGATAGGTGTGATTTTGTATTTTTATCACTGGTTGTTTTTAGTAAGAGTTTTAGGGCATTTACAATACAGTTACTTCATATGAATTCCGAATACATGAGATGTTATGAGGGAGTGACAAACACATACGAGAAGGAGGAGAGATAGGAAGATAGAAGATCAGGGGTGTGGCAGAAAGACAGCAGTAAGGAGGAGCCAAGGAGTAGCAGTAGTAGAAAGGCTGCAGAAAGAGTCAGGAAACCAGAGGAGAGGGCAAAGGAGGTGAGCTGGTGGGGGCAGAAAGTGGAAATGAAAGCAGACAACAGAAACATTGCTATCGAGCAGGAAAGGAGGTGAAAGGAGACAATTTTTGAGAAGACAATTTTTCGGTCGCTAAGTGGATTCGAACCCGGGACCTTTGAATGAGAGGCCAACACCTTAACCTCTAGGCCACGAGAGCCCCCCAGATAGATGTTTGAGTAGGAAAGAAAGAACAAACCACACCAGAGCACAGACCAACAGGTCACTCAGGGACAGAGAAGGGGTGGGAGTAGTTTGTTTGAATTAAAGAAAAGCACAACGGCAATACGTAGTTTTGTATTCTACTAGCACTTTTATTCTGTAAACCTATTTACAAGCGTCAATATACAATTCACTTAAATGTTAATTCGCTGAAAACAACATGGACAGACAGAATAACCACCGTTCCTTTTCTTTTCAAACGAGCCTTTGAAACAAAACTCTCCCTCTCTCTTTCTGCACCTCCCTCCCCCACCTCCAACAACCAGTACCCAAAATTCACCGACCCATATTGCCCCTCCCTACCTCCTTCCATCCCCCTACCGCCCCCCCCCCCCAATCAACCGTCTCAATCTCCTACCCACCAACAGCACGCTTCATTCCCCTTTGACTCCAGTTCTGAGTCACGTCTTAACTAATCTTTTCACCCCTCTTTCATCCTTCTAAACCCTTAAATCATCCCTTTTTCCTTTACATTTAATACGATCCCCCCCCCCTCTTCGCTCCAAAGTTGTTCCCTTATCCGCAACCAAAGTATCTCTAAATCAAGTGCTCTCCCCCTTTACTCCTTCCAAAATCTGCAAAAATCCAGAAACATAAAAACCTGTTTTCATTCTCAATCCCCCCCCTCCCCCTCCCCACTCAACCTAAGAAAAACAAATTAAAAATGGCGAAACAAAAACCAAAGTCCCTTTTTCATTCTGGAAAATAGAAGCACGTCGGTACGTACAGGTCCTTTTTGAACGAAAAAAAAATACCAACCGAGACAGACAGACAAAAACAATAAAAGAAGAATAAAGACTACAGGGTCTACAACAAGTGGCAACTTCCAACGACCTGCCCACTCCTTTTTCAACTTTAATTCCAAAAAGTCCGGTCCAATCGACGCCTAACCCCATCACCCCCCCCCTTCCCCCAAACCCATCCACCCACTTCTTTCCTCATTTCCCCTTCATTCTACCCTTTCAAAATCTCATTCTCTTCAATCTCACACCTCCCCTCCTTCCCCTCTCAATAGAATGAGAACGAACCTGCCCAGTCTTTCGTTATCGAAAAAAACAAAAACAAGAACAAAAACAAAACCAACTTAAAGAAAACGAAAAAAGTCCATCAAAGAGTGAGTGTGGTTTTTGTAAGAAGAAATGCATCGACCCGACAACATTCATTTAGTGCTTGAAAAAAGCAAGACAGAAGACGAAAGCCCGCCAATGGCACCCCAAAACCACCTGCACGACTAAGACAGAGTAGTCAATTGACTGCGCCTGGGAAGAGCCACTGTGACGTCAGTGTCTGGTGTAATCAGTTGCAGTATCGAATACAACCTGACGATAAAGATTGTATTGCTTCGTCTCGACTTTTTTTTATTTTTTTTTTTATAAGTGTTTTACGGCACTCGCAACTGCTAAGGTCATATGAGCGCACGGACACTAATTTTTTTCAGTTGGTAAGAAATTTTGAATCTAACCCGGGTGGCGGCCGTAGCCTACTCTTATTGATTTTAGACCACCAAGGGATCTTTAACGTGCGCTACTTGCACCCTGGCCCTCCGAGATTTTTAGCCCTTGTCCGAGACGGCTAGGTGTAGATCTTTCCTACCAGAAGATCAGGGGTGAAGCTGAAAGCAGTAAGAAGGAGCCAAGGAGTAGCCCACAGAGACAGTGTCAGAATCACTATGAAATGAGGTTTTTTTAAAGCATTATTGGCTGTTTCCAAACATAGACGGACAGACAGAAAAATATGGAGCAAAATTTAATAGACCAAGCATAAGATGGGGATAGCGGGAAAAAACACCTCCCTCTATTGATGTATCCAGGCACAAAAAGAGCAAAAACGACAGAGCCTCTTCACTACCTGCAGCCATAAAGGGCAGACACAACATCAATTAATAGTTAAGGAGAATGTGTTTTAAAATCAAGACCAGCACAGCACCAAGCCTATTGAGAATCTGCTTTCATTCATCACCGTAATGTAATCCTTGAGCTGCAAAAAGACGACCAAAACATTGAGTATCGATATCATAATCAATACCAACAAGACGCGAAGTATTCGCTCAGCACAGTCTGTTTCCCCCCAGATGTTGATTAAGAAAAAGAGGAAAGGTGGTCTGTAATGGCGACATCACAACAAGATACTTAAGTTCTTGCAACATCTTCGAAGCTTGATTTTGTTTTGTTTGGTATTTTCGCAAAGTCCGGCTTAGATTACTGGCGGGGATGGCAAATAGACAAGAATGAAAAAAATGTCGATTTGTTCTTATTCGGCAGGATTTGTCATTCACAGAGGACTGGAGAGCTATGTTTCACTGAAAATGGCAAATGAACTCCAGGCAAGTTGGAAAGAAAGGCTGCCGTACTTTTGAATTCTATTGAGTAAGAGTTGTAAGAGTTGTTTTACGGCACTTGCATCACAATATGGTCATATATAAGTGCCAAAGATTAGAGGTGTTACAAGAGAGGAACAAGCACGAAAAGGAACGATAAGGATGAAAGATGTTTGATAGGAAAGAATGAGCAAACCACTCTAGAGCATCTGCCAACCACCCGTTCTATTGAATAAAAAGAAGCATAAAAACACGGTATAGACGAATACGAGCACGTCAAGTAAGATGTACGGACGGAAACAAAAGATTAGCAGAAAAAAGTAAGGCCCACCAGTGTCACACTCAAACCAACTGTGTTGGTGTGTGTGTATGTGCATGTGTGTGTATGGTGTATTTGCGTGAATGGTGTATGTGTGTGTGCATGTGTATGTATGTGTGTATGGTGTGTGTGTGTGTATGTGTGTGTGTGTGTGTGTGTGTGTGTGTGTGTGTGTGTGTGTGTGTGGTGTGCGTGTGTATGTGTATGTGTGTATGTGTGGGTGCATGTGTGTATATGTGTGTAAGTGTGTGTGTGTGATAATTGCAACACTGAATTTTTTTTTTAAAAACAGGCATATCGTGAAGGGCCTCACCTGATTGACAAGAATCATCTGTCCACATGATATGTATGTATGTGTGTTTGGTGTGTGTGTGTGTGTGTGTGTGTGTGTGTGTGTGTGTGGTGTGAGTGTGTATGTGTATGTGCGTATGTGTGGGTGCATGTGTGTACATGTGTGTAAGTGTGTGTAAGTGTGTGTGT